CTTTTGTTAAACTTAATGTTCTCAAAAAGCCTTGTGTAAAGAACACACTGAAATCCGCTTAGTTGAAAAATATCTAAAAACAAAAAGTTAAAAGGAAATAAAGAACGCTATACTTTTTTTAGTGCTTGATAGAAAATTTTACATTATCAAGGCTCTTTGACTATGTTCAATTGGGGCAAACAAATTTTTCAGATCCATATGAAAGTTATAGATCTTTGAGATTGACCTATTATGCTCTCAAAAAAGTGTTTAAAATTTCAACTCTCTTCAAAACCAGATGTCAATGGAAAATGAAAATATTTGAGGTGGTACACCAAAAGGCAAATAATATTAGTTGGTATATAATAAATGTAAATATGAGTCTAAAAGGGGCATTAGAGTAGAGTTACTTCCTCCTGTGTACAGGTTGGGGGGCATGATGGTGAACAAGTGCGCAAAGTTTCAAAGCCATATTTCAATGGACATTGAAAATATTTGAAAGGGTACGCAAACTTTAACAAAAGTGGTTACGTCAACACTCGAGTGAGTTAAAGGGACGTACTCCTTTGAGGTATTTTGACATGATGGGACTGAAAATATTTTTTCCAAATAAATGTACCATTTGATGTAGGTTTAGACCACTAATCTTTGTGCAAAATTCAGATCATTTGCGCACTACGTTTTTTCCAGAATAATTATTCAAATTGTAAAAAATGACCCAAAATTAAAAGCGTTTAAACGCTTCCCAGCCACAAATACAGTACGTTTTAGGTACAATAGAAGTACCTATAAAGCCCCACAATGTAGTATCAATATGGTATCACTTAAGTACCTGCTTCTAGTGTACTTTATTTTATGGAGCAAAATTTAACATTCACTCGAACAGGGGGAAGTACACTTAAAGCTCCGTCTAAAATATTTAAATTATGCTTCAAAGATACTTCTTTTAAGAAAGCATATATAAAGCATCACTCGGGTAGTACCTACAAGCTCAGCATGGTAGGCTCAGGGAAGTACATTTTAAGTATCAATTTAGGAAGTACCTTTAAAGCTTTTAATAATGAAGTTCATTTGAAGCACAACATAAAAAAGTACATTTCAAGCATGATCATTTATTGAAGTATATTTAAAGCATCAAATACTATATATCTTAAGAAGTACAATTTAAGCATCAAGTTGAAGTTCATTTAAAGCATCATTGAAGAAGTACATTTAAAGCATCATTGAAGAAGTACATTTAAAGCATCATAAGTTACATATATAAAGTTTTAAATGGTTAAAGGGTATAAATCTATATCTTATGAAATATTTTGATAAACTCTATCAAAGGTAAAATAATATTGGTTCCATTTTTATATGATTGATTGTACTGTTAATATAACCCATAATTTACTGTAACAGAAGGGTCCCCAGAATGTAAATGTTATGAAAAATCATGACCTGCACAGGCATGTAATTTACTGGTTCATAATGTAAAGAAAAGGGCAGATTTAAAATTTCCCCCTCAATAACACTCAGTGAAAAAGATTTAAATTAGGACATATGTAAAATTTATGAAGAGAAACAAAAACTAAACTTATACTTAGTGTTAATTTAAGGTAAATTTGAAAAGGCTGTTGTAACAAAATAGTCTAAATAGCTTACCATTATTCCATTGAACAATAGTAAATTTCCATTTCCATCTGATTGAAAAACTCATTTAATGTCCCATTATAATTTCATTAAAGTTCACATTATAAAGTTGTTTCATCTAAATGACACTTTGGCACATGTTTAACTTTAGTCCTAAGCATCTTTATAAATAAGTATAAGCACTGAGGTCCAAAGAAACTTCCTGAGTAAAAGAAACTTCCTGAGTAATATTTGAATTTTCTGAGAGCCAGATTTGTTCAGGATATTAGATTACATGTTGTAAACCCCAGTTAACTAACACTTTCTTTTATATAAGATAGGCGAGTTTAACACAGGTTATTATGAAAACAGCAAGAAGAAACTCTTGACCCCTCACTGACCAATTACACATGGTTTATATTATGTTACAATCACTTGTGTTTGTGAGTTAAATTTTACTCACTTCTCAAAAGTACATATGAAGTCCCTAGAAATATGCTTTATATTTTCATATAAGTGTTTAAGGCATCATTGAAGCCCCATTACTGTTCTTATCTATTTATTAATGTTTACAAAGCATCAACAAAGTCCCTGGCACTTCCAGCAGAAGTTCCCTGGGCTTCTCATTGAAGCAGGTATGTGTTAGGAAGAGTATACTTGAAGTTCCAGGGGCTTCATTTGAAGTATGGTTGTTGTGTATCATTGAAGTCTGTAGGACTTCAGATGAAGCAGGTCTTATTATCTGTAAGTATTTCTGAAGTACATTTCAGGTATACTTAAAGCTGGGGGACTTACCTGAAGCATGTGCTTCATTTGTGGCTGGGTTTTCACTCAAATTGGGCTAAGAAAATCATTAAAATACGATTTTCAATTTATTTCATAGTATATTTCTTAACTATGTTTGCATATATTTCTGTTTAAAGTGCCCCAGCTCATTATGTAAGAAATTTAACTGTTATGTTTTTAGGCTTTTAAACCTCAGTGGAGTCCCTTTAAAACTAGGAATTAGCTCTATTTATTCTTCTTAAATATCTAGTCAAGGTAACAATGCCTTTTAAAGGATTTAATTCAGGGTCAATTCAATTTCTAACTATAATCAGAGAGCCAACACTCTACCACTATGAGAAAGGGATGAATAATGAGTAATTGATGTAAACAGATAATGAAAGGATACTGAATTTGAGCTATATTAAACTGACTTGCCTATCTTTCAATCTTATCATTTTAGGGAAAATTTCAAAATATATACTAAATGAATTGTGAACAATGATCAGACAATTTTTGTGGATATCACTATAAAATCTATCAACTTCATTAAAATTTTCTTCCCCTCTGCTTTTATCATGGCTTGGGACAATGCTGCAGTTATTAACCCTTTCCCCCATGAGCATATTGTGAAAAATGGCCGTTTTCACTGAAAAGCCTCCTGTTACAAGTTCAAACTGCTATGAAACTATGAAAAATGCTTCAATACTAATCAAACTTGGCACAAATGTTGACTGGACCATTGCCTTTGTAACGACATGCTCAGTCTTAAATTTCCTGTTACCATGGCAACGAGGGGACATCTCAAAATTGCCAAAAATCACTATTTTGCCTCGATTTTTTCCATCAAAATTTATTTCAAAGTGCTGCAACTTCTCAAGGGATTCAGATAGAGTCAAAGGCTTTTCAGCTTTGGTTAAACGTTACATTATGGTCGACCTGGGGTCATTTTTAGCCTCTCACAAGTCCAAAATTTTCTTGGCGATGAGGGGGACTCCGCCCCCCTTCAAACCCCCCTAACAGAAGGGGGCACATCCCCCTTCTGGCAACCCCCTGATGTATCTTTTGGTCGGGGGGCGGCGCCGAAAAAGTGCTCAATTTTTTTAGCAACATTTCTCAAACGAAAACTTATGTTTAGGGCCCAAATAGGACATTTTTTCACTATTTGACGCCCCAAAAAGGGGGGGAGGTCGAAAGTGCGTTGTTTCGCGTATATATGTGGTAAAGGGTTAAACTAGGCAGCATTGGAAGAGTTAAACCTCAGTACCATGTTTAGTTTGTTAAATGGACTTAAATCCATCTTTCAATTTAATTACTTTATTTTTCAGAAAATTTCAAAATATGTTCTGTCTGAATTAAGTGAACAGTGCAGACCATGATAAGAACATTTTTGTTGATATCACTATAAAATCTATTAACTTCATTTCTTCCCCTCTGCTTTTATCATGGCTTGGGACATGCTAGTTATTAAAACTATGCAGCATTGGAAGAAATAAACCTAACCAGGCTTAGTATGTTAAATGGACTTATTATATCCATCTTTCAATTTAATTACTTTATTTTTCGGAAAGTTTCAAAATTATGTTCTGTCTGAATAGTGAACAGTGCAGACCATGATCAGATAATTTTTGTTGATTTCGCTATAAAATCTATTAACTTCATTTCTTCCCCTCTGCTTTTATCATGGCTTGGGACATGCTAGTTATTAAAACTAGGCAGCATTGGAAGAAGTGTAGTCATAGTATACGTCGAACGGTTTATACGCGCGACTGAATGGACGTTTTATTTTTATTTTATATTATTATTATTATAACGCGCTACACTTCTCCCACCATTCAGTTAACGAAGCTTAATTATGTTGTTGGTATGTGATTTGTTTGTTTTTCTTATTTGTTTTTTTTTATAATTAGTATTTTTATGTTTTTATTATTATTTCTTTTATAATTTTTTTTTATTACTATTTGTATTATTATAACTTTTTTTATAACTTTTTTATGTTAATTTTATACCTTTTTTTATATACACATTTTTCAAGCATATTTTTATAACACATTTGTTTACATTCTGGTATATTTTTAAAATTCTTTTAAAACATTTATTTTTACCACCTTTTGCACCTTAACTTTTCATATTATATAGACAATTCATAGCATATCATACCAATGTTAACATATGTGTTAACCCTTAGAATTGACCATCTTTGTGCTTAAAATTTCTAACTCTAGAACAGAAATTGCATAAAGACACACGATGAGCTCTGAACCGAAAGTTAGTATGTGTTATACCAACATCAAAGATGCACACTTTTTACCTAAAACCCTTTTTTAAATTATAATTTTGCGATATTTTTTTTTACCACACATTATTCATATCATCTTATGAAATAATGGGGAATATTATGGAGCATACAGCCTACCAGAAACAACTTTAATATTATATTCTTTATTCACATTCTCATACAAGTATTTTTATACCCAAGTTTTTATTTTTACTATTTTTTAAAAAAAACCTTTGACATGTTAAACGGGATTTCTCGTGAAACAGCCAACCAGGAACCAGATACAATTTAATACCCTTTTATGATACCTTTTTCATACAAATTATTTTGATACACACATTATTTTTTACAAATCACATCTTACAAATCTTTCTTTAACCCAATTTTATACCCATTTTTTATACACACTTTTTATACCTATTTTTTATACACAATTTTTATACCAATTCTTTATGTATACACATTTTTATACACAATCTTATACACATTTTTGAAACTCACTTCTTTGACATGCTTACAGTTAAACTATTATTTGTGATATTTTCCAATCCTTTTTTTGCATTTAATACCCATTATGCATTTAATACTGATAGTGAAACAAAGATATCACCGAGCCGACCAGTAACAAATCTATATCCATTTATTTTACCAATTTTCATACATACACATTTTCTTCAATATACATCCTTTTACATATAATAAATAAAACCTGTTTGGCATGCGCAAAATACATGTATTAATAATCAGAATGTGGCGGGAATGTTTGTCAGTATACAATAAAAATTAAACAAAAAACGCCGAAGAATGCTATGTCGCGCGAAGTATGTTACGTCGAGCGGCTGGTCAACCTAGTCCGTAAAATTCAACATCAACCATAATCATCAACACGATTACTAGCAAGTCATGTGGGAGCAGGGTAATAAAACGGCCAGGTGTCTAAATTATCAGGAGCAATTATGCATACAAATCATCAAAATAAAAATAAGCAGGCAAATAACAAAGGCATTCAATACGATAGGCTAATGAAAAATGCAAATGACACAATAAAGTTGTTAAATATCCAACACACCTGCACGCCATTTCTTCCATCTTCGTCATGTAACTCTCACTCCTAAATACGTTCTTAATTCTTCTTCTTTTTCTTCTTCTTCCAGTAAAACCTGTGACTGAGAGATCAAATTTATGTTAAAACCTTTTATACATGATTTTACGTAGAGAGTATGGACCCCCACCCAACCTGCGGCTGAGAGAACAGACTTTTTATACCTTTCTCTACATGTTTTAAGTTGGGAGTACGGACCCCCAGCCAATGTGCGGCTGAAAGACCAGATTTTTAATACCTTTTAACACATGTTTTTATGTTGAGAGTAAGGACCCTCTGTAAGACCAGATTTTTTTTATACCTTTTTACACGTTTTAAACACGAGAGTATGGACCCACAGCCAACCTGCGGCTGAGAGACCAGATTATTTTATACCTTTTTATACATGTAGTATGGACCCACAGCCAACCTGCGGCTGAGAGACCAGATTATTTTATACATTTTTATACATGTAGTACAGACCCCCAGCAAACCCGGGGCTAAGAGACCAGATTTTTTTTATACATTTTTATACATGTAGTACGGACCCCCAGCCAAACTGCGGCTGAAAGACCAGATTTTTTTTATACCTTTTTATACATGTAGTACGGACCCCAAGCCAAACTGCGGCTAAGAGAGCAATATTTTATACCTTTTTATACATGTAGTATGCACCCCCAGCCAACCTGCGGCTAAGAGACCAGATTATTTTATACCTTTTAATACATGTAGTATGGACCCCCAGCCAAACTGCGGCTGAAAGACCAGATTTTTTTATACCTTTTTACACGTTTATATGTTGCGAGTACGGACCCCCTGTCAATCTGCGGCTGACAGACCAGATTTTTTTATACCTTTTTACACATGTTTTACGTTGAGAGTATGGACCCCCAGCCAACCTGCGGCTAAGAGACCAGATTATTTTATACCTTTTTATACATGTAGTACGGACCCCCAGCCAAACTGCGGCTGTAAGACCAGATTTTTTTAATACCTTTTTATACATGTAGTACGGACCCCCAGCCAAACTGCGGCTAAGAGACCAGATTATTTTATATCTTTTTATACATGTAGTACGGACCCCCAGCCAAACTGCGGCTGAAAGACCAGATTTTTAAAATACCTTTTTATACATGTAGTACGGACCCCCAGCCAAACTGCGGCTAAGAGACCAGATTATTTTATACCTTTTTATACATGTAGTACGGACCCCCAGCCAAACTGCGGCTGAAAGACCAGATTTTTTTATACCTTTTTACACGTTTAAACCTCGAGAGTTAATGGACCCACAGCCAATCTGCGTCTGAGAGACCAGATTATTTTATACCTTTTTATACATGTAGTACAGACCCCAGCCAAACTGCGGCTGAAAGACCAGATTTTTTTTATACCTTTTTATACATGTAGTACAGACCCCAGCCAAACTGCGGCTGAAAGACCAGATTTTTTTATACCTTTTTATACATGTTGTACGGACCCCCAGCCAAACTGCGGCTGAAAGACCAGATTATTTTATACCTTTTTATACATGTAGTACGGACCCCCAGCCAAACTGCGGCTGAAAGACCAGATTTTTTTTATACCTTTTTACACGTTTTAACCTCGAGAGTTAATGGACCCACAGCCAACCTGCGGCTGAGAGACCAGATTATTTTATACCTTTTTATACATGTAGTACGGACCCCCAGCCAAACTGCGGCTGAAAGACCAGATTTTTTTTATACCTTTTTATACATGTAGTACGGACCCCCAGCCAACCTGCGGCTAAGAGACCAGATTATTTTATACCTTTTTATACATGTAGTACGGACCCCCAGCCAAACTGCGGCTGAAAGACCAGATTTTTTTTAATACCTTTTTATACATGTAGTACGGACCCCCAGCCAAACTGCGGCTAAGAGACCAGATTATTTTATACCTTTTTATACATGTAGTACGGACCCCCAGCCAACCTGCGGCTAAGAGACCAGATTTTTTTTATACCTTTTTATACATGTAGTACGGACCCCCAGCCAAACTGCGGCTGAAAGACCAGATTTTTTTTATACCTTTTTATACATGTAGTACGGATCCCCAGCCAACCTGCGGCTAAGAGACCAGATTTTTTTTATACCTTTTTATACATGTAGTACGGACCCCCAGCCAAACTGCGGCTAAGAGACCAGATTATTTTATATCTTTTATACATGTAGTACGGACCCCCAGCCAAACAGCGGCTGAAAGCCCATATTTTTTCATACCTTTTTACACGTTTTAACCTCGAGAGTATGGACCCACAGCCAACCTGCGGCTGAGAGACAAGCTTTTTTTGTTATACCTTTTAATACCTAATGTATTTATAATCAGAATGCGCAGGGAGAGTTTGTCAAATAACATAAAAAAAATAAACAAAAAACGCCGAAGTTATCTCGCGCGAAGTCGAACAACACGATTACTAGCAAGCCAAGTGGGCGCAGGGTAATAAAACGGCCAGGTGTCTAAATTATCAGGAGCAATAATGTATACAAATCATCAAAATAAAACTAAACAGGCATATAACAAAGGCATAGGATAGGTTAATAAAAGAATAAAATGACACAATAAAGTTGTAAAATATCAACACACCTGCACGCCATTTCTTCTTCCATCTTCGCCATTTCTTCCATCTTCGCCGTGCGACGTTCCCTCCTAAACTGGTCTTTTCTGTGCTCAAATGATCACGTGACCTGTAATGTGTGAAGCGGGAAAATTGTCCGGTTTTTTTCGCCGAACCTCGTTCAACTCTGACCTTTTCATTATAGAAAACAACAATACATTTATCTAAGTGTTCTTTTGTTAAAATAAATATGTTGGGGTCGCAACTTTTCGGCCCTTTCCGTCAGTCTTCGGACACGCAAACAGGACGTTTCGACCCCAAACCAAATCGGCCCCTGGACGTTTCGGCCCTTTTCAGCGAGACGTTTCGGCCCTACTATAGTATATTGCTTGATTGATATTATGGCTTCTGTTTTCTTTTCATGGTAAAATTATATGACCGAATGTTTCGATTTTCACGTGCATGAACAACTAACTCCTTACCTGATACATTTAATTAAATGTGTTAGATTTTTCAATATCAAGGAAATAATTTCGAGTAGCTATTTATCGTGAGATATTTTTAAACATTGAAGTTAATTAACATTAAATGCAACAAGTATCTAATCTTTGATGGTTTACACACTCTTATGGTATAATTCCGTTTTATAATTCCTTAAAAGCTAAATGAAAAATGTGGCATTCCCTTATTGAATTGTAGCAAACAAACACTTTACCATGGGTAATAAAAATATTATTTATAATTAGACATGTTTTATAATTAGTAGGTTATTTTATTGTTTTGTAATTGATACGGACGAAGATAAATAAATTACATAGGTTTATTTAAAAATGGTTGTCAAACATATTTTCAAACCCCTTTTTTCGATGAGTGTCACAATTTAAGCAGAAGAAAATAAAAAAATCGGTTCTGTACTGGCTACAAATACTAAAGAGGAAGTTAGCTGGTGAAAATTAGAAACATAGACCTTACAATTTATCTGAAAAAGAAAAGTGAACTTGAAAACGAGTCTGGCGAATGGTTTTCTCTCATGCAAAGTTTAGAGCATTTTTAATTCTGACTACGTTAATACGTCATGGAATGTTATCGTTACATTATATTTTTAGACTGTAAACTACATGTATACTTATTTTGAAAATGTGATAAACAGAATATTTTGTTCTCATATTTTCTATGACTTAATTCATTGAAGTCATTGGTTGAATAAAGTAGTAATATTTTATGAAACGTGTTCAATAAATCAGAACCCACAGCGATCTTGAGGAAAAACCCGGACACTTAAAAGACTGTTGTTAACTTAATTCTGACACTAAGCTTCATTTTAACAAAATGTTAGGTTTTATATACATGCAAAATAAAATCACGTCCCTTGTTGTCGCAATATAAAGCCCAAGAAAAAAAGTAATCAGAGAATGAGCATCTGAATAGACATTTCTATCGTTGTCCATTTATCTGTCGTCACATTAAGTAAACCCCAGAAAAAAGGAGCCACTCTACGGGCATGCTCTGGAGTGGGGATATCTAAACACGCACTGTGCATGTATACGATTTAACTCTGACAGAAAGGTCCCCAAACTATAATACACTTATAAATTGGTGTTCCTCAGTATGATAATATAACACAGTGACATTTTAAACTGAGATTGTTCTTCATATTCAATAATAAAGTATGTTTTGTTAATCTTCACGAGTATCTCTTTTATTTGTTTGTTGTTGAACCTGGAACTAAGGTCTTTTTACGTAGAATAGTCTACCAATGAAATTTTCAATGGAAGGTAAATAGTTCTAAGCAGAACGCCAGCATCTTTTTGTATTATTTCAAATACCAAATAAACACGTTTCTTTAATGTCAAGTAAGACATATGTGATATGGTTTTGCCAGTAAAACATTAAAAGTAAAATTCAGTCGTAAAATTACCGAGAACGGCCATATTTTATTCACGGCTTCTGCACCTTATACTCCGACGCCGCTGCGATGGACCCACCACTTCTGCGAAAGCTATGGCCAGTGTGTTTAACTTATTGTACTTATTATATTTAACTTTTCCGATCATTGAAGATCGTTCAGCACGACATTATTGCTGTGTTTGTGGTATTTTTTAGTTTTTACTTTTCAGCATATTTTTTACTTGGGTGGTTCCAATGTGCACTAAACGAGAAAACAATGTGCGGAAGGTCTGAGGTTATGAAGCCTGCATATCACAGATAAGACGTCAAAACCATACGCCGATTTTAATGGAATGACACTAACATGTCACATTGAAGGTTCCATGATACTCACCGTATGAACACATCTGCTGATGTATCTAAATTAAAAATACACTATTTTTATGTTTAAATGTTAAATTCTGCTAAAGCCGGTGCTAGGGGGCGTGGACGGTGGTTTGCACTTGACAGTACCGTCTATGAACAGACTCAATCAAACCGAGCCTTCAACATTTTCAATTTTGCCTTGTTAGGTAGGGATTCTTATTTTCTCTATTTTAGTAACACAAGTAATGTCTTAGAGGAAAGTAGCAAAGCCTCAATACAAGGTTCATTTTCTCTTTCTAAATGAACGTGTTATCTTATGACAATACTTATCATGCAAACATTTATACTAGTCACCTTTAACTATGTAATTAATCCTTTCTCCAGCATGTAAATATCACACCATTCTTTTCCGTTGTAAAATTACATGTATGAAATCCACGATTTTCACGTGCATGGACCCACCAACTCTCCCTACCAAAAGAAACTAAATAATCTTTGTAAAGGTCACTTAGTTGATCCTAATAGTTTATAATAAAATATATTTTTGCGCAAAGAACTCGTTGATAGTAAAATACAATTGATTATACCCTTATTGTTTATGTGTAACGAACTATTTGGGTGTGTATATAGACAAAGTGTAGGCACCAACATCGACATTGAAGGGGAGAATGCTGTTTAACCGGAATGACAATTAACTTGATTATGAACATATTAAATCATTTTTCTAACAATTAAGATAACATAACTTAGTTGTTGATAAATAAATGTCTATGTATTATCATTTGTTAAAAAATGCTTACGTTCTGTTTCATTTTGTTTTGATTATTTTTTTCAGAAATATATTTATATATCAATAGGAAACAATTGGCCTATTGTTTCAATTCTTCGTGTGTTGGAGTATGTCATAACATCATATTATTATCATTACACTACAAACTTCTCTTTTAATGCTCACATCAGTTAATGTTATGTGCTGTGTGTGACTGCTTCATCCAGTACTTTTATAGTGTTAAGCACCGCATACCAGGGGAGAGACGATTAATTTTGTTTATTCTCTCAGACTCGGCATTTTTTTTCAATTAGATTTTGTTTTCATTCCTCTCTAGATATTTCCCCTACACAGAAATGTGCTCTCTTTATCAGTTGTATTGCTAGTCTTTGAAACAAGAAACCAGATTGTGAAGTGTGGCAGCTAATTTGAGGACAATCTGAAACTTTTGCGTTGTTCTTAGAGGCGATGACTATTCCTCTTAAATATTTTTACTATACGATATTAAGTTTGCATATTGAATACTTTCTTGTTGCTGATGTGATTTTTACTCAACACTTTTGAAACATACACTTTTTAAACAAGCCATATTGTCACTGATGCAGCCATGCACAGTCTTTTATAAATATGATGTGTTATGACTTTTTCTTCAAAACAAAATAATGCTATGCTTTTGCATATACATCTTATAGAACACCACCCTGTGACCTGTATACTAAAAAAAACGGAAAAAAAAACAACAAAAAAACACTCACATATAATAGGTTGCTTAAAACTTTATTTCATATTTCTGTGTAAATATTTCATAATACATTTTATCAATTCAATAGTAATTGTCACTGTGTATACAAAAATATTTATCTAAACTATATACATGTTATTATTTCATAACATATTTCTAAACACAAAAAAAAGTTAAATGAAGACAGTGGCTCATACAGCCTAATTGCTAAATGGATAGTTTGACCAGGGTCTTTCAAATTGAATTTGAAGTACAGATTCTTCAGACCTAGAATTGAACGCAATTAAAGATTTTATATCATACACTTATACTGGGACTAATAGTGTAACTACTAGTGTACAAATTCTACTGTTCCTTTTAGTTAGCACATCACTTATACGTTTGATAAGACAAAACAAACTTGACCATCTTTAAATCTGGACAAGACCATTTTTCATAAAAGCCTGCAGAAAATTTCATATGTACTGTCTGAATGGCAAACCAGACTTTCAGTACTTTACAAATGGATTTAAGGTTGATTTTATAAAAATGTTAAACAAAAAAACTTTAAGATTCACTGCTTAATTAAAACCATATACATGAATTGAAGACCTTAACAATTTGTGATATCAATAGTAATTTAAGGTACACTAGACCAGTTTATCACAGAAATTTGACTGAGCAGTTTTGTCTGAGATTAAATTATCCCAGCAGAAACAAAACTACACACATATTTTTATAAGTATTGATATATTAAAGAAGCACACAGAAATATATGTTATCACAGATCAAAGCAAACATAATCACATATACTCAGCACAAAATACGTGCAATGGTCCCAGTATATATACAATTTATAACATAGAAATAAAAAGGATTTCATAGCAAAAATACCTGGCTGAGGAATTCATAGACCGCACCGCATCGAAATACTTCTAAGAGAGCTAACTCATGTCCAAAGAGTAAAAATATAATAAAAAAGTTAGTTCCCTTAATTTGACTACTAAATTATTGATTCAGAGGAAATGTCAGTCCACTGTGTTTAATAAGCAACATCATTAAGGAGTTATTTCTATAAATTTCTAGTAAGGAAGGCTTGAAAGTTTCTATATTTGTAGTAATTTTTATATTTTGGAGTTCACTTAATCCAATATTTCAGACTTAAAAATTATTGTATTCTTCCTGTATTTTTATTAAAAACTATTTGACAGCCTGAGTTATTATCTAATCAGTAACAGAACATTCTTTGACAACAACATACAAATATAGATTAATCAAGTACTTGATCAAGTAACTGATAAACTTAAGAAAAATTTAAAACAGAGAATTTTAACAGTACATTGTACATGTGTACATTATTTTTGGAATGATTATATATGTTTTTGGAATGATTCTATATTATTTTTGGAATGCATGCAAAAACCATAATATCTTTTGTCTAATTCATAAATATTGGCCTGAATGATGATAATATTAACCAAGGTTTGTGGGCTTAAAATCCTTTAAACATCAATACATGTTAGTTCAGAAAGCCAATGCCATGATTAAAATAAGCTTATAATTTAAGTCAAATAAATAAGTTAAATCAAAATAAGACTCTCCATAAAAAGACACCTTGGTATCAAATTTAAACTCCTAATAATTAAAACAACAGAAACTGTTAAAGAATGATAAAAGTTTAATAAACAGAAATTCTGCTGCTAAAAAGGACAATAACACAATTAAAATGTATTTATCAAAAGTAACATATTTAAACAACAACTGTAGATATACACTTAACAATAGACACATAACAATATTCACTTAATAATATACACTTAACAAATTACACTTAACTATATATACATGTGCTTCATATAACACAAAGATAGGAAGAAAACACACATTATAATAAGCCAAACCTAATGATATGCATCTACAATTTCTAACAAATTTTATGTATGCCTTTGCTAAAGCAGCGATAAGATAGAATTAGAAAAAAAAACATTATGCAATTTATTAAAACTATAATATTGTACAGAATCTATTTTCTGGTTATTAGTAATTAGCATGCATATACTTTTATCATACAATGTATATTTACTAAAACAGGCATCACAGTATTGCATTTACACTAATTATATTTTAGTCAATTTCTTCTTAGTACATAGTATCAGTTATAGTTTACATATAGAACTATTTCCTATGCACTTCAAAACTTAGCATTAAAAACAAACCAACATATTCAATGATTTGCATAAGAATTATGAGAATGCTTGATAAGAATTGCATGAAAATGCTATTAAAATAATCTGTAGTTGGTGTCCAAATAATATTACAAATTAAAATTTACACATTGTATGCATTATCAATGGAATAAACAATAAAAATAGAAAAATAACTTTCTTAAGTATAAAATGAACATTTATTTATAAAAATTTCAATGGCACACTAACAGATGGAAGTGACTTCCAACCCTGAAATCACATACCTTTGCTACTTTTGCGACTTTGTAAAAAATATGCAAATATGCAAATGAGCCTAATAGCTTTGTCACTGATTAGGCTCAATCCTTGACCAACATATATTTTCCTCTGTTGTTTCAAGGTATTTGATAAATACTATGTTATTTACCTTGTTCATAAGTTTATTTAATATTCCCTATAAAGGAGTAAACAAAAATGTGATTAAAATAAAGGATCTTTTTCATCAAAAGTTGAAAAATACATAACTGGAATGCATTTGAACTGTCAAAAACACATTTACCATTTGTCTCCCATTTCTCTTGCCATAATCATATGCTACATTATTTTTTGTACCAACAGATATTTAACATTTCACATATTTCCTACATATAGAAACCAATAAGATAAATCTTTAAACATTGTGGCATGTAAGGTATCCGCAACAAGATCAGCTACATTAAACACCAAAACAGCAAAAGCTTGTTTCAATAACCCAACAAAAGAGTGCTTTATATATTCTGTTTCAACTACCAGGATCAAGTTGTAGCAGCAAATACGAATTTATTTGTACACATGAACAACAAAATACTGCTCCCACGAAAATCTGTCATTGATGTTTTACGATAAAATGTTTTATAACTTCGATGTTTCAGAATATTCCGACAACGGTTTTTTCTCGTTATCATGATATGAATTGTTTTCGTACACATGAACATCCTCAGGGTTAACCGGAATCTCTGCTTCTGTCTCAAAGTCTGGTTTCTTATACTTGTACCATTTTGCCACGAAGATGAATATAAACAGGTTTATGAAGGTTAATGCAGCCAATAAGAACAGAAGGTATTCCAAGTGCCCGTTATTCGGCTCTTTTGGAAACCAATCGGATGCTTCTGAAATGGACAAACGGGAAAATGCTTCATTAGGAGACTGACAAACAAAATTAAGTGTTTAAATATTAGTGGAAACAAGAACATTGTATGCAGGTTTTTTGCTTGTCTGTTTAGGGCATGTATTATCAATAACCAAATTTGACAAAAATTCTAAGTTTAAAAGGGGCATAACTCCAACTATATAGTTTTCAGAATTATGCTCCTTGTCTAACAACTGCACCTTGTCATGATAAGCAAAGTATTCCAAGTTTCAAGTTGACAACTTTTAAAATGTTTAAATAATGGGCTTCATTGAAGTTATTGCAGAATGACAACAGCAACGTGATCATAATAGCTTGAGTGTTTCTTCTAAACAGACAAGCCTCTAATGAAATGACTTTGCCACCAGTTTTACAATCAATCAGTCATGATAGTTGCCTTACTGTGCAATCAGGCCATATTTTAAAACACTGCACTGACTGGGAAATGTTAAATGCTTACAATTTTATTATAACATGTTACATAGTAATAACTGTCAAAGTGCCTAAACCTTTACCACCCTAAATGTCTTAAATGTACTTGTCCATCTTTTAAGCTGGACAAAACCATTCACTATTTTTAGGGAAAATCTCAAAATATGTACTGACTGAATAGGGAACAGTGCAGACGATGATCAGACATACAATTAACATACCATCCTTTCTCCAGGCACCAACAATAGCAACAATTAATGATGCCAAATAACTTCCCAACCCTGAGGTCATCAAGAACAGCCCCATGATAAGTCCCTGCATGAACTGAGGTGCCTGTGTGTAAGCAAACTCAAGACCTGAAATATATACAATGTAATAAATATTACAGTACATGTATTCAAAGTTTATTTCAAACTGAATGTTGGAAAGCAAATTAAGAACTTTAAACTATGCTAAAGGTGCTTTGTAAACTATATGAACTGAAGTCATTCTTCATGATTCTTGGTATGCATAATGATTTTTTTTTCTATGATTAAATTTAGAAAAATTAATGATTGGTTAGATTTGTGAATCTTAAATCAGAGCAAATGTTCATCTTTACTAGTTGAAGAAGACCTAAAATGGCCCTACGTGTATTCTTTAAGGAAGAAAGGGGCACCCGAGGAAAACCATCAACCTTGATAGCGGTGAGAGGTAACTGATGTGTTTAATTATAGATATAAGTAGAAAATTATTAATAGATATACTATGGCATAACATACAAACAAGTAACATTCAGAATCATATACATTATACATACCTGAGATACTAGCAAAAACCTCACTAGAACCAATGAAAGCAAATTCAGGAATCTGTGCAAACATGGTTAATTTGGAGGCATTAAATTCATCCTTGGATAGTGTCTGTGTTATATAGCCATTATCCCTGATGTCATTCTTACGAATAATTTCCATCATTCCAGCATACAACATGGCTAAAGCAGCTAGCACCATGCCAATACCTGCACAAATATTTTTTGAAAAGTCAAGGGAAAGTCAGACAGTTAATGGCACATTATGCCTCAGATATCTATATTTTATTTCTTCTTTAGAAATGTCAAACATGTGTTTATTAATTGTTTTAATATTGAATTAAGAGCATATCAGATATTAAACAATTGAAGGATATAGTGCTGACCATGTAATAATTTGTCATTATTTACGGTAGCAAAATGTAAACAAAGTAGTATTTTGACTTCCATACAAAATACTAATTCATTTTATATATACCAAATTGTAAAGCAGAGCAACATGAGTCAAATATAGTTCATGTCTCTGGTAAAAGATTTTTTTTTTCAATCTGTTACTATTTACCAAATATAAATAGTATTTATAATTATTGTATTTCTAAGGCATTATGGGCCTTTAACAATTATACTAAAATAAACATCAGTTATGAATTTACGATTATAATATTAAACTAAGGCTCTAAAGATTAAAAATTGCAAATATTGTCTTAATTAAAAATTAATATAATCATGAGCAGTTAAATCACAACCTGATTGAATTTGATCTCTAGATTTTTTACAGTTGCTAGCCATTAAAACAGAAACAGTTGTCTTTTTTAAAAAAAATTTTAATACAGGGATTGCTTTTCTGATGAAGGGTATACTATAGAGACTGTCATGATCTTATGAAAGAATCTCACACCAGCTACCGGACAGACCAGAATATCTTTCTCAAGGGTAACTGCTTATAGCGGTAATGAGGCTCTATTACTATGGAGTTTCAGCTAAACTATTATCCACAAACTAAATATTCCTATTTGTGATGGTGACCAGTGTTTTATTCTTTTTGACATGCATATCACAAATAAATTGTCTTAGATGCGGCTGTAAAACAGGTTCTTCTAAGACTGGTATAAATAGAAGAAAATCTTGTTTGATGTGCAATAATGTATGATTTATCTTCCCTAAAAACAATTTTTCCTAAAAAATCTCATGCCCTAAACAGTATTTATATCTAATATTTACTTAAGATATCATAAAATTTAAAGAAATATTTGAGCCGCATCATGACAAAACCAACATAGTGGGTTTGCGACCAGCATGGATCCAGACCAGCCTGGGCATCCGCACAGTCTGATCAGGATCCATGCTGTTCGCTTACTAACCCTAATACAAGTAGAGAAACTGATAGCGAACAGCATGGATCCTGATCAGACTGCGCGGATGCACAGGCTGGTCTGGATCCATGCTGGTCGCAAACCCACTATGTTGGTTTTGTCATGACACAGCTCATTTGTATTGTAGTAAATATGTACCAATCCTCTGTAAATGTGTAGGACTTTTTCCATATTTAGCTAGAAGGGGGTACACAATTCTGTCCATGATTGGTATAAGTATGAGGATAATTAACGTGTTAAAGATGTTTAACATGGCTGCTGGAAGCTTGGCATCCCCCACTGATATGTTCATCCTCTCACTTTGTAAAAATAGTGATGTACTCATCTGTAAATATATGAAATATGATAACATATTTTAAATGAACTCCACCTTAGGGTCCAAAAACTTTAAAATACAGTACATGTGTATAAACATAAGGAAACATATGACCACAGCAGGACTCAAACCTACTTAAACCTACTTGGTTAAGAGCTATATACCTAAACTTAAAGGAAACATTACCCCTTTAAATATTTATACACTCCTCTTTAAATCATTTAAACTATTTTTAATTTACATTTTTCTGCTTTGTTTGGTTTTATGATGATTTTAAAATACTTTTGGTCATTTCTCAGCAGATGATCCACCGGACTGGTTTTCCTGGATGACTATCCAGTAAATGACCAAAATTTTCGCAAATCTCACATGATTTCTGAATCAGCTGTGAGAAACAAATGACTGGCAACGTGGCAGAGTGGTTAACGGGTCAGACTAGTAATCTAATGATCGCTTGTTGCATGGGTTCAAACCCCATCAGGGGCAAGTCCTTGTTTACTTGAGCAAGAAACTTTACACACATTGCTCAGTACTGGTTGGTTCCAGGAATGGATTCGAAAGTGTGTCTATAAGCTTATAGCTTCCTACACAATCAAACTAAAAGCCAAACAAATGACCAGAAGACTCAAGGCTAGGGTTATATTGCAAACATTCATTTATATATGGCCATATAACCTGTCAAGAATTGATAATGCATCAAACTTTCTTTATTAAAAAAAATAAGAAATAACTTTGATAAATTGACAAAGTTTATATAAACATCACAATAATCCAATGAAAAGCGAAGTTACAAATGTGTAATGTTATAATGTATATTCCAACACGCTTAATTTACAATATTTTCTTATCAAGCAGAATTTAGGACGATCAAGTGCATTATTACAAGATATATACACAGCATAAAAAAGAATGTTTACACGTCATATGACATCATATATGACGTCAATAAACCAATTAAATGACATCAGGAATTACTTATACGCTTGATGTAGTTCAAAATATTTTTATCAACTCTCCTTTTTATTAGCATATTAGAATCCAAATAGATTTTATTTTTCATTTTTGTATAATATTGCATGGTTTATCGCTCAAATGCTTTGTAATTAATCATCAAGGCCTATCCAACTTCATGATTATATTCCTGCACATTTTGAACTGGTACTGTGCATTATTTTACAACAACTCACTCAAATTTGATATCCAATACCTAAATAAACCATTACTAATAACATCCTTACCTGAGAATAGACAGCCCAGTATACAATGACTAGAATAAAGACAGGAATGACCCGTAGTACTGCCTTCACCCCTTCAATCATTTCTTTACTGTACGAACCACCATGATCCTTGTGGGCATGACTCCATGATGGATCATTACATCCATTAATGCTCTGACAACATACTTTGAATGATGATGTAAGAATACTACCTAAAAAGTATGGTATTGACCTGTTATAAAAACTATTATTATTTGAAAATTAAACACTGTACTAAATTGTTGAAATAACTTTGAGAAAAGTAAACAATTTTTTGCCTCATGGCTTAAGCATCAATTCTATTAATTTTATAATTCAAGGCCACTGAACACTGTTGCATATTTAAACATGAAATTTAGATAGGCTAACAAACTCAAATCTGAGAAACAAAATCAAAATTTACCCTGCTAATTAATGCATATAAAATAAAAATTCCTCCCAAATATTACACAATTTTTTACAAATGATCTATTATGCTTTAACATTTTTGTTATGGTTAGGTTTTACGCTGCACCAACATAGTATATGTCATGCGGTGACTTTCCAGCTGTTTTAGGAAGACCTCAGGTCTCTGTGCATAAATTCAGGCATAAACGGGCACCAGAGTAGAACCACCGACGTTTAGTAAGGTAGCTGGACAGCTTTCTCACATGAAAGAATCCAAAGACTCTTGCACAGGTCCATTCTACAGTGGTGAGAGACAAGTGGTTTGAAGTGTACCTCCGATTGGTGTATGTTTGTACTTGGGTTTGGCAAACATAAAGATGACAATGGCTATGATCATGCTAAGAAGTGGGATCAGGAACCCGAAATCAAATCCCACTTCTTGTTGTACATACGCCACCCCTGAATAGGCAACCACAGCTCCAGCATTGATAAACCAATAAAACCTGGAAACATGATAACATATGATAACATTATAATTGTTAAATATCTAGGACTTGATTTAAAACCGTTTGTGAAAATATTTCAAAATCCATTGTTGTATGACAGAGTAATTAACTGGACAAGAGTTTTGAACATATGCACAGAAAGGAGTAACACTATAATATATTATGCCCAATTGCCATTATCATGTTGGGGGCATAAAAATCTGGTTTAAGTGAATATAGAAATAATACCATCATTTTCTTTTCACTGAAAATTTTTATAACTTATATATTCTTAGTGAAAAATTTTCAAGTTTGTTCTTAATAACATGTTTAATTATGACATTTATTACATGATCATGGTATTTTTTACATAATAAACAAATTATTATCTTGGGCAAGGTATCCAAGTGACTGCCCTTTCATAATTTTAAAGTTACAAAAATGACAATATTTTCATCTGATTTTCAACACATCCCACTGGTTAGTCAACAAATTATTTAATAACTTACAAGACTTAAGTCAAATACATTTTGAACAATTTGAAAGTTAATAGAGTAGGTAGGCCTGCTCTTTTTCTTTTTAAATAAATAATAAGAAAAAAGAGGCTAAACAAGAGGCTGAACATGTATATCAGTTTTGAACACTAATTTTGTTTATTGTAAAATTTACCAATTGAAGAATGATTGGACTGCATCTGATCCTAGGTCATCAACCTGTTGAGCTCCAAATGGCCCTACATTGGCCTTAATTCCTCCTGTTCCTATGGCAACCAGCACCAATCCACTGAAAAAATATCCTTTCCTAGCTTCCTGAAACCAGTAAATAGTAATTATTATAGATTGAAAGCAACACTGTTGTATCTGAACAGTAATTATTGTGGATTGAAGGCAACAATGTCATACCTGAACAGTAATTTTTGTGGATTGAAAGCAAAACTGTTGTATCTAAACAGTAATTATTGTGGATTGAAGGTAACACTGTCATGTCTGAACAATAATATGTGTGTACTGAAGGCAAAACTGTTGAACCTGAACAGTAATAATTGTGGACTGAAGGCAACACTGTCATATCTGAACAGTAATTATTGTGGATTGAAGGCAACACTGTCGTATCTGAACAGTAAATATTGTGGATTGAAGGCAAACACTCTTGTAATATCTGAACAGTAATTATTGTGGATTGAAGGCAACACTGTTGTATCTGAACAGTAATTATTGTGGACTGAAGGCAACACTGTTGTATCTGAACAGTAATTTTTGTGGACTGAAGGCAACACTGTTGTATCTGAACAGTAATTATTGTGGACTGAAGGCAACACTGTTGTATCTGAACAGTAATTATTGTGGACTGAAGGCAACACTGTTGTATCTGAACAGTAATAGTTGTGGACTGAAAGCAACACTGTTGTATCTGAATAGTATTTTTTTATGTGTACAGAAGGCAACACTGTTGTATCTGAACAGTAATTATTGTGGACTGAGGGCAACACTGTTGTATATTATTAGTTATAAAGATTGTTGACAGGTTATATGGCCCTATATAAACGGCTGTTTGTAAATATAACCCGAGCCGTTAGGCGAGGGTTATATTGCAAACAGCCATTTATATACGGCCATATATCCTGTTAACAATCCTTATAACGAATTTATAATACAGCACGCATCATTTTTTAGAGAAAAGGTAAGATTTCTTCATAAATCGACTGTAGCCGTGTATATAAAAATATATAAACGTCACGATTATCCAATGAAAAGCGACGTTACAAACGTGCAGTATTATAAAAACAGTAATTATTGTGACTGAAGGTATTACACTGTCATATCCCTGAATTAAGAGGCAGACACATTAACTCCTATGCCATAGCTCTGCTCCAATTAAAAACTTACAATGCTGAGGTCCTCTTCACCTCCAAACCATTTTCTATAGTCCACAGCGGATGCAGGAAGGAGGAACAGGCCTGGAAACATAAAGATACTGTAAGCTAAACAATGACTTGTTCATAGCCTAATAAAGTTTTACATTGCTGTTCTAGTCTTACAGTTAATGCCTGTCGAAGGTTGCTGTAATAAACTTCTGTCTAAGGTTTGAAATAATTAATAACATTACAGAGAAAATAGCTAATAGTATAATAAATACTTCAATTTTATCCCTTTAAAAACATATTATTATATATTTTGCTGGGCATTTAGATGAACTGATACTGTCATATGGCAATTTGCAGCAGTTTACTGGTGGGACAAATGAGTTATATACTTTTGTTTATAGCTGCCAATGGAGACCCATGAGAACGCCTTATCCATTATTTACTGAATGACTGTGCAACAAAATCAGATATTTTTTTATTTTAGGAGAAACAACTGGTTAAACAGATATACCACTGTAAAATTACCAAACTGAGAATTGCCCTCATACATTTATATAACCTGTGAGTTAATTATAGGGCTATAAAGTAGGTAGCACATACTTTCTTGAGCAATCTAACCAGGCTCTATAATTCATTTTTTTGTCATAGAAATACGTTAAAATTACAAATGAAATTTCAAAATTCAATGAAGGTCTTGCCCATTTAACATCTCCAGGGGTGAATGGGCCAAAATTGTCAAGATTCACAAAGCCCTTTGAAGCTGCATGATACAGAACACCCCTATAAGAAATATCCTCTACCGTATATAATCAATAAAATATTATTTCAGAACATTGATTTTCTCACAAATTTCTATGATGAAGAATCATTGTTAAACATGACACGACCAGGATATGAATAATTTTTAAGTATTAATTAACAATACACTGTAGATAAAACAATAAGCATTCATGTGACACAGATTGTACTTTTACATTGTTTGTTAAGAGAAAGTAAACTGTTACTGATTTATTGTCATTTCCTATTTCAATTACACCGTACTATAATTATTTCATAGAAATGTTAGTCATAAAACTCACCATTCTTTTGAATTTACATACTTCATAATATATTATATTTAATATGATATAGCTATTGAGTTATATATCGAGGGTTCAAAGGTAAAAGGTAATAACTGCCATTTTCAATATTTCGAGAAAAACGCAAAAAACCATATATTTTAGTACAACTTTATTTTCCGTAATATTTTTATAACAATTTTGATTCTCCCATATTTGTTGACTACATTAGATCATATTTTGTTTAGTTTACATTGCTTGGTGCTGATAAAACACTGTAATTATGTTTTGTTTTAAAGTTCTAAGATCAAAATAATACCATTTTACAGAAGTAAAAGGTAATAAATGTACTTAGATCCTGTAAAGACAACAAGTTTGAGCGGTAAAAGGTAATAACTGCACTTACGACCTTTTACTTCTGAAGGTTTAGCAATAAAAGTTCGAGATAAATTGTGGTAAAAGGTTATAAGTGCAGTTACAGCCTTGTTCCTCTGAAAAGAATTTAGATGTTGCAGTAATTAATTGTTACTGTTGCAAATTTATTAATTAAGTCCTTACTTTGAAGAACCTTACGTAATGTCATTAACACACATGCACAATAGTACTCGTACACAAAATTGACAATTTTCATTCATAGAAATATGAAATATATACCTGCTCAATATTAAGATTCTACAGAAATAAATTGATAACTAAAAAGTTAGGAAAATACGCACTAAAGTCTAAGTTTACAGATTTTCATTTATTTTGAATGTTCTCTGGTATATAATCGAACTGAAGTCAAACACACCCCAGACATCAGCAATTAAGGATATTAGTGACCCATATCATAGTTAAGTAAATAAAGACTACTGTTTCATGTCACACAATGTGAATGGTTGTCATTAATTTTTCCATGAAGTTCACTCATCTTCTTCACTCTCACTAACAGTTTGTCTTTTATAGATTTGCTGCATGACAATGACTCGTAATATGATTCGCACTCCTTCGGAATTGTCCCAGAGGCAACAAGTGACATCAAATCAGCTTTTTTTGCAGCATATATTGAGAGTTTCTCTGTATAAGCCTTTCGTAGAGCCTTAAGAGACTTTTCTTTGCTTCTGCTCTGCATTAACCTAACTTCATTGAACTCACTTACATCAAAAACCATAGTTCACAAAAAATACTGTATTCTTTCATTTCTTTGTCTTTACGAACTTGAATCCATTTTATAGTCAGCCAATTAACACGTTCTCCATCAACATCAAATTTCATTGAGCCAAAGTTCGTTCTTTGTACAACTTGTAATCTAGTATGTCAGTGTATTTTATTAGAACGACAATATATGGTTGCTTCCGGCGTGCTTATGATATAACTGTTTCCCACTGATATGGAACATGTACTTTTGTGAGGCTTTCTGCATGCTCGATAGATGCATGTATGGAATCATATTCCATTTCTGAATGACCACTTTCGAGTACATTGTGGTGTATACACTTGATGTGAGGAATATACTGGACACAGTGAACTAAGCAACTTGCAACAAACTGATTGCGATTCTGTCCCCCACATGTATCACTATTTAATGTCACTTCTTCAATAACAGATGTCTTACTTGCATCAGAACCAACACACAAGTGCACACAAGTTCCTACTTCGCACGAGCATCGTTTCCCCTGTGTCTCATCCCAAAGATAACAAGTCCCGTTACCATTTCCCAGTTCATAGAATGACAAATTGTAACAACACAGTTTTCTTTTGTAATAAATTTCACCAATTAAACTGCATGGTGTTTGGCGATACAGCCTGGATATCAAATGCCGACACAGAAAACTTTGGATCTTTCTTTGTCCGTTCTTTATCTGCTGATTTTTCCATTCTAGCATTGATTTTTTTTTTTTTTGGTGTGCCTGATATTATGCTTTTGTTGCCTCATGTAGTCTATCTTCCATTCTCAAAGTGTCAAACAGATTGCAGAGTGGGCATTGATCTTGCTTAGGATGGAAGAAAGACAAGATATATAATGTACAGAAAATGTTTCTGTATACAGACTCTGAAACACACCTTCTATTTTGTCCTTTGCAATTTTCTACATACAGTGAGTACATTCGTCTTATACTTAAATCTTGCGTTAAATACTTCCTGTTGAAGTATTTTCGTGTGTAGTGTGATTCAAAAGTCAGAAAGCTTTCGATGTGTTTCTTATCTAATGATCTGTGATATTTCTTTGTTTTATTTCCAGGCACAGCTTTCCCTTTCTTGTCATTTCAAACATATAACCCTGCCACTTTGTGCTTAACTGCATTTGCAACTGTTTTGGAACCGACATCGAGAGTTTTTAGAAAAAGTCATTGCACACTCTAACCATTTTGCCACCAACTGTGAAGAAAAACGAATTTGAAGTAGTTCTTTGTTTTCTTCTCTGTTTATATACCTTTTCTGGTTCTTTATTGGAAACATGGAAACAAATGAATTGCCTCTGACTTTTGTAATCACCTATTGACCAGTATGTACTGAATATTTTCTGTCCTTCATCTTCGGTTATATTCTCGCTGCATTTAAATCTACAAGATAAATTTCTTGGGAAAAGAGATAACAGATAGTGCCTGTGAACTGTATGAATGCAGTATTGTGTCAGAGGAAAAAGGTGATAAAATCAGTTATAACCTTTTTCCACTACAGGTTCTTCACAACATGTGGAACAACAAGTAAACAACAGGTAATAAGTACACTTCAACCTTTTACCCCTACATAATTTGTAGAAAAGAAGTTATTACAAAATACTTTTTAATGTTTTGCCCTTATAAGGATTGAATATTTATATAATATTTTCGCCAAACATAAAGGACAATAAGTACATTATAAAAAACATAAAAAGTCGATTTCAGCAAAAATGGCAGTTATAACCTTTTACCTTTGAACCCTCGATATGAAAACTGAGGCCAATAACAAGAACAGTAGATAGGTTTTATCAAAATCATGCCTCTGCCTGAAATCTAAATGAATTATAAAAACATCAACTTAAGTCCTCGATAAAAAAAACTCAATTATCAAATTTTCAAATTTACTGTACACAAGGGAAGGCATCTGTACTTTCACTTTGAAACTGTTCCATAGGAATAATTCCAATTTTTCTTTCAAATTGTTCAAAAATAGATCATACACCAAGCCTTATTCAAGTTGCGTCACCAAGTGTCAGACTGTGACAAGGACTTGAAATTTTTCAGCCTCAGCCATTTAAAACATTTACAGTAAACTCTGCTTTTAATGACATTCAGGGGACCGCCAAATTTATACTGTCATATCTAGATATCATAATATTAGAAAGGCAAGGGATTTTAAAACAAGGGATGGAACCGTGGCAACAACTGTCTTTATAAGCAGTATATTGATATAAGTGATATTACAAATGGAGTTCCGCTATTAACATCACCCTGTGACCAATTCAAAATCTTCTATTTACAGAAAAGAAAAGCTGAAAATATTCTTGTGATTTGATAATTTTGTTAGCTTTGTAAGTAATACTTGATAACTAACAACTGAACTAGCACACACTAAGTCTTGATAACTATTGAACAAGTTATATGTATATATTAGTAAAATGTATGTTATCTCTAAAATAATCACAGCCCCCAACATGTTTCCACTTTAAAGTCTTGACCTTTCCTAAGTGCTGTTGATAGTTTCCCGTAGCTCAAATAAAGTGGTATCTGTCCTTGAAAGATAAGTTTTATTTAAAATATACAAATGGATTTGTTTGTGATAAATTGCATAATAGATCTATAGCTTTAAATTTGCACAGTAAACATTCAATGATTGAAATTTCTGACAAGATCTCCATAGACAATTATTTACTTAATTGAAATAGAACGAACTGCATCTAAAATTGCCATGAGTTTAATTTTTTAACTTTAAAGTGGATTGGCCTAAACGGGCTCATTTTCCATAAGTATAATTTTAAACATTGATAAAAACAATAGAAATGTATCATTTGGATATTCTTATAAACTATTGCTTGAAAAACATTTTTTGATAGTCATATGGATTCAGTACATGTATGATAAATAATATTTTGTTCAAGAACATTTTATTATCGTCAGTAATAGACTAATTCACTTTAAGCAAATTCTTACATGTGAGGAAGCCACAGCAAACTTTTGCCTTACTCTGCTAAATTTCTTAAATGGACTTGTCCAGCTTCCATTATGGATCAGTACCAATGACCAATTAAGAGGATATCATGACGAAAATTTAAATTTAAGTTACCGACAGTTACGAGCCCGGTCAGTGGTCAAATTGCACAGGCAGGCTGACCTTGGTACTATACTTATAGCAAAGGCTATACATCACTTTGGCTTTCAACATGTGTAAAACTCAATGAATAGAAATGATATTACTTAATGCTATACACATTGTAGATTATGCTAAGTCTATATATTAACATTGATTTGTGATATTTCAATTTTGTATAATAATATTAACCATTACTATGAGACATTTCCATCTCAACTTTTAGAATAAATTATATAATTTAACCACATTGTCTTCTTTTATAATGTGGATCGTTATGAACAAATTTGCACATCATATAACTATTCCAGTCTTTAAAAATATCCTCCTCATGACCAATATGGCTGGCAATTCACCATAATAGACTTTCTAATATGGCTACTAGAGCTGTTATATTACTCAATACTCTTTTATAATCATTAATTACATCAGGATACTATACCTAGGACATAAATAAGACCAGATCCAAGAATCGTGTTGTATTTTCCAGCCAGTGAATCTGCAACATATCCTCCAATAACTGGAATCAAATACACTGTTCCTGAAATAACAAAGTATCAAAAAACTGTTATATATCATCTATGAAAATTCACATCACAATTCTGCTAAGAGATAAAGCATTTTCTGTCTTTACTACTGTTCTACATATTTTGTGAATTTAATATATTATGTCATTTTTGCAGTCACCATCAGGTAAAACTTGTGTAGGCCGATTTCTAAAGTATTTGATGAAAAGTCACCAAAGAATTTTTTTTGGCTCTAGATCATAATTATCTGATCATAGGACTCTGGTGCATTTTCAAGCCTACAATAAGTGCAAATCAAAATGTTAGGGAAATCATTACAAATAGTGTTAGGGAAATCATTACAAATAGCAAGTTTCCCGGGAAAACTAACATTCATCTATAGAGAGCTATGCCTCTTATTGTATTTGTTCATAATATCAACATCTATTTAATTTTAATGAAATTAAAAGGACAAACAAGATACTATATTAGCATAGATTAAGAATTTAAGATAATCTTCTCATGCTTGAGACAAACTTAAAACCCTTCTTGAACCTCTGAGATATTTCTTTTTCAGTATAAACAACTTTTTATATCTATCTTTTTCATGACCAACTTTACAGCACCTAAACAACTAAAATATGTGAACTTTTTCCCCCCAAAGAAGTAATTAAGACACCGCCAGGCTTGCCTACATATTGGTTGACATGATTTATCTCCAAAGTTGAAAGTATAATATTAAATCTAGGATTTTATCAGCATGCCCTAGATAGCTTAACAAACAAAACACATAAAATACAATTAAGAATTTATAAGATTTTTAATCCTGCCAGTATCTGCAAAAGGGTTGAAGACACAACAATAGGGAAATATTGTGAAGTGAGCAAAGAAAATAATTGCAAACAGCACTTACAACCCATGTAAATTACCAAAAAAAGGTTAAAATATGCAAAAATTGCCATTAAGTACTGCATTAGCAACACAACAGAAATATGCCTTTTAAGTATGGTAAAAAATACTGTAAAACCTGTCATAAATTGCAAGTTACACTGACTTATTACTTATATCTTGAATTGTTTTATTTTTCTTAAATTCTCAGTACTTTTTTTCATGTTTGATTTTCTTGATTTTTCATGTTTGATTTTCTTGAAAAATTTCGGCTCATCTAAAGGCCTGCAGCATTAACCTTTCTGTAAAAAGTGAAAAGTCAATCTGAATAAAGAGTTATCAAACCAGTCTGCATTTCTGTGCAGTCTGAGCAGTCTCTTTAATATTTGAAATCTCTAAAAAAAGTCTTCTATTAATTTAAAAGAAACACTTTTGTTTCATTTAGATATAAGCCATTCCAATTTTCGAAAAAGAAAAAAAAAAAAAAAAAAAAAAAAAAATAAACAAAATAATGAACTCTAATTTGTAATAACTTCTTGTAAGCAGTTATATCATCAGCTTTTATAATTGAAAAATTATCAAAAACTGTTTACCTGAAAATACAAGAGTGACCACGGAAGCATCATCGCTGGAGAAATTTAGCTCCGACGTACAAAACAAGACCATATTTGCCACAACACTGTAATATGTCAACCGTTCACACAATTCTGTAACCAAGATACTTGCGACCACGAAAAGCCTTTCTCCTGTAATTTTACCTCCGCTTTTAGAAGGTTCACGCCCGACATCATCGGCAAATTGAACAGCCACAGCATCCTTTCCTTTTTCAGACATGTTAGCCGATGCGTCTGCTCCAACTGGTGATCCAAGAAGCAATGGCTTTGTTTCTGATTCGGAATCCGACTCCGAAATACCTCGGTCGCTATCATTCTAAAAGCAAGAGATAAAACTGTCCATTCAAAACAAGCTAATATCAAGGGGTTGCGACAAAGGAATGTTGACTTTATTTACCTACAGTTTTCCTATCTATGAAGAGCTCATTATCTATATGGGTTATATTCATTTAAAATGAGATATCAAATCTAATCAATCACTAGGTAAACTAAATCTTTCAATTCAAGTAATAGTGTTGTGAGCTAATTGTTATTACTTATTTATCTTGCATCTATCTATTAGTATAAACTGTATTTAAGAAAGGGAGACAAAAATATGCATAACTCTTACAAAGGTTTACAGATAAAGGCAGTCTGAGTTGTTTCCCTTGTATGCAATTTGAACATTGCAGTTTGGGCAAAACGATTATTTATCAAGTTTCAGAATATTTTTTTACAAGTAAGGATTTAGTTAATGTTTGTACAGCCATCTTTAAAATAAAATTTAAATGAAATAAATGTTGATTTGCATAATGTTAATACACATTAATTCAGACTGCCTGAGAGTATAAAATGTCTTTACTTCCGTTATTCGATGAGACATCCATTGTCATATACTTTTAACCTGTTGTACTCTTTTCCTCCTTCCTTATTATCAATTTTTGGGGGTATCAAAATGAAAGATAAATGTTAATCAGTAAATAGTATACTGACCAAACTGGTCTGCAAAGGCTAATCAATTTGGCTTGCATCTAGGTACTGGGTTAATAATGCTAAAATCCACAATTTCTAAATTGTCTCCCACTGCTCTTTTTAGAAATCATGTGGGATAAGTTAAATCAGTCATTGCGGAGAAATTTAAGCCAGTCTTTGTGGAGAAGTTAAGTCAGCCATTGTGGAGAAGTTAAGTCAGCCATTGTGGAGAAGTTAAGTCAGTCATTGTGGAGAAATTGATGATACGTGTAACTGGTTTTAAAAGCCATGCAGTAAGGTGGATAGATCGCTGAGATATGAGTAAAAACATTTTGAAACTGGTGTAAAAGCTAGGAAAACATTATTTAACAAATGTCTCAATGCCAACAATTTTAATCATAGCTAATATTCAAAGTTAGGAAGAGTCATTTAACAAGGAATATTATTAACCATAAAGTGGTCATACAGGAAGAAAAAAATTACACCAGTACAATCATGTGATACACTTTTACATGGGTTTTTACAAATTTACAATAGGCATAAAAACAAATGAAGGCATGTGACTGAATTGTTATCAGTCTGAAAATATATGAGTTATTTTATAACAATGATTAATTTACATATAATATCTAACATGTATATTATGTTTACGCATATCATAACAGTATAATTATATGAAGTTATCAGTTACGTTTAAGTGTTTAAAGTACACGCCTTTGCTTTAACTGTACAGCCTTAAAGCAGCATACCTCCAGATTCATGCTAATTTCATCAAAATTTTAAAAATGTATTTAAAAGTAAAATAATGTGAAGTTAACAAAATATAATTTACACATTGCAAACTACATTTACAATCCACTTAAATTACCAAAATAAGAAAGCTTTTACAGGTCAAAATACGAAAAATAGCCCTAACTGCATTTATAGTCACATAGTAGATATATGGTGATAATAACTGTACTGCAAAATCAGTCATAAATCTAATAAAACATTGCTTTTATTACTTGAATAATGAATGTTTTAACTTTTAAATTTTTTTTTTAATTAGTACTTTTTCTCAAAATATTGTTGTCACAGTGAACTCTGGTAACAATTTAAGAACATGTCAAATGAATGGCTTAGACTTGTTTCAATCATACAATATCCACAATATCTATTATTGTAAATCCCAAGGTTTGTTCAAATCACATGACTTGTTTTAAATCTACTCGGTGATTCTGTCGGCATTTAAATTTCATTCAACATATACAGATATATTTACACTTCAGATCCAAAATATGTAGATGTTTTACAAAAATTCATGCTGGGACTTTAAAAAATGTTGAGTACATAAGATTAATTTATTATTTTTTTGAGTATCCCTTTAAACATACACAATCATGTATCTCTAATATTGTAATACACATTAGATTTGAATAAATTTTATTGTAGTATCAAAAATTTATTGATATGGAAATGTTACAAACAAATGGATATAATGATTCATATAATTGCATATAAATTATATTTGTGTTGTAATATACATGTAATGCATGCCTATGATATTGTTGGTTACAGTTCAGTTTTTATTTGGTTGGGTCGTCAGACCAAACAAATAATGGTAGCAAAATTTCAGACCCTGATGTTCTTAATTGCAAATACCGAAAGTAGTTCAAACTCCTTGAAGAGGTTACTCAATTCCCTTCATATGTACATTAACGCCGAAAAATTAAGGGAAGATCACTGCGTAAAGATTGTCAAATGACTATAATTTTCGTAATGAATAAATAGTTCCCGATTGGTCGAAGATTTCTAATATTGTGTTATTCTTATAGATATACATGCTTATATTCAGCTCCATGATTATTTACTTCAGTGTTAAACAACAGGTTTACCGTGAACAAAATATATCGAAATTAGTAAGGGTTACATTTAAACTCTAATTTAGAATAATATGGTCTTCTTCAGGCTGTTATCTTATAACTCCCCGTGGTTGAGGGGTTTATACGCTTGCTTTGGAAGCGAGAGGTCTGGAGTTCAAATCCCTGTTCAGGCAACTCATTTTTTTTAAGCCAAATAAACATTGAATTGAATATCAGTACAGTGTTGCAATTAGTCTTATAGCCAATTTACTATATAGTTATAACACTGGAAACAGCATTGGGGACACTATACAAACAAATTGGTTTATATCTCACAACCTTCACCTTTCTGACATTCTGAGACCTAAACAAATTCAGCGCCTCTGTGCTTTGATTGTATCATGTTATTATAACTCCCTATATTTTCAAATTGACTGTTCCAAATTCAAAGCAGTGCCAAGTTTATTTCACAAATACAGCAGGTAAAGGGAAAAACTGAGCTGAAACACTTTACAGACACATGACAATTATTCTACCCGGAAATTATAAAACAGTATCTAATTTTTCACACAGTATAAATAATTAAGCAGCAGAACTGATGATATAATATGCCAATTTAAATGAATCTTTACAATAATTGTCTCCCCTGATCCTATCATCAAACCTCTCTGTAAAGACCAGCATAAAGATCATACAGAAATAAAATGATTTCTGATTGTCACATAATGTCCCTCTTCATCTTGATAAAAAAAATGTATGTCAAAAGGAAATGATAAAAATTAATACTTAATAAGACATGATGATTATAAAATTATTTGACATCTTGGTTTTAATAATAACATTATTATCATTATTAACATAATTATTAACCAAGGTGAAATCTAAGGTGATATTTTAGAAAAGGTTCAATGACTACTGTTACAAACTTCTTTTACATCTTGAAATTTTAAACATTCAAAATTCTTTATTTTTGAAATTTTAATCAAATATATAATTGGATATAACTTTGCATAAATCTTAATAATAATTTTCTTTTTCTTATACATTTTTTATTATGTAAATTACATAACTTTGCTACCTGAATATTTGATGATTTCCTGTCCATCAGGTGATTCTAAAGAAACGAAACTTAAAATCTAGCCTTTGAATTTCAAATATCACAAATAAAAAATATATTTTAACATTTAGAGCTTCTCTGTTATAATAAAAAAAAGTGACAACGCAAAAATAATTTAAATATCATATGAATAAATATGATAACACAATAAATTATCTCAATGATAATTAACAGTTGTGATTACCAACCCCCCCCTCCCCTACAAGTTTTTTTCCACAACTGAACTAATTAAATTTAATATAAATTTTACATATTTATAATGGAAAAAAAAACCACAAGAGATTGTAAATAATTCAAATAACAGAATAACAGGGACTTGTATCTTTAAATTATTAAAGCCACCTTTAGGTGTGATTGTCATATGATTTTGTAATCTAGATCAATAATTAGAACAAATTATTACAATCAATGGACAACTTTTTGATAAAAAATATTTTGGCTGTTTGCCTCTTGAAAATTATATAAATATATCTAGGGATGGCTGTCAGAGAGGGTCATCTCTTCAGTATTTCACACAGACATGAAAAGAGCAGCTGTGGAACTGTGTAAAATTGATACATGTATAAATTTCACTTATAGGTCACACATGTTGATATACATGTACATGTATATTGGCGTTTATGTTATCTATATGCTGGGTCAGGTACATGTAGATAGTTCTATGTTTAACTTTTACTCATCTATAAATGGTGACCTGCACGATAGCTTATTATATAGTATATTGCTTATCGTTTTTTCTTGACTGATTTTAACGAAACTCAGTACTCAAACCCATGACCTGTTTCACCGGTGTCAATTACAATTTACATGTAGATATATGTCGACATTATCAATTACAACATTAAAATAGATATTCAAATGAAATTCAGACACTAAATAAAAAGCCGACTTACTTTGTTGCTTCGATCCATGTTTCACTAATCATGTTATTTAAATAAGTTTCCACATTTGTGGTAAAAATAATGTTTACAAATATACATTCGGAATATTTCGTATATTCTTAATACTTTAATCACGTGACAATCATGTGATCCAATTTTCCCGCCATATGTCATTCATATCCGTAACTATATAATTATGAAAAGGCCCATTGTTAACCACATGCGTCAATGGAAGTGCATTTAAAGTAAAAAATCCATTCATGTTAATTACTTATTCTTGTTTGTTAATTAAAATAAATTCATGTAAATGGCTTATTCTTACATTGTAAAGTATATCAGCCTCGCCTGATAAGACAGTAACATGTTTTTCTCTAAATTAGACACAGATATAACATCATTTGAAATTTAAATCTAGAATGCAAGATTTCCCTTAGTTAAAGAACTATCATTCCATAACTGCAAATATGTATGTAGGATTTTCTTTGGGGACCAGTCATATCGTTTTCATTCACTGACTCAAGAACGAAAATAAACAATGAATCTTTATGTGGTGTCACAGGCACGAGTATCGGACCTGGGAAGAAAAAAATATGACAAGATTGATAAGAAAAAACCTGTGTTCATCTCAATAGTGTCAAAATAAAAAAAAATAAAAATAAAAATAAAAAAAGAATTAAAAAAAACTAAAAAAATATAAATTATGGGTCACATTGTACAATTTTTTTTTTAAGAACACAGGGTTTTTTATCAATCTGGTCATATCTTTTTCTTCCCAGGTCCGATACTCGTGCCTGTAGGTGTTGTATGGAGGATGTAAAGTGAGGAGAATGTGTTACAAAAATGATCAATTATTGGTTGTGTTTGTATTACTCCAGAGGTAACTGAATTAATTAAATATCATCATTCCCCGAGTTGTCTACAAACGCATTGTGTCTTTTTGTAGTTGTTTCCAAATTTCGAACATCATGATACTGATTGTAGTATATTAAATAAGCAACAGATTATCACAATTTTAACTCTTGCATCAAAGTTACTAACTCTCAATGTACCAGTTTCTCTTTTGACTGATGCCAATCTTTTTGAAATGTTCCCGGTATTAAATAAGCTGCAGTTGTTGAGCATACCATTTAGTGAAGTGTCTTCTTCTAATTATTGCTTTATTAAAGGATGTATTTAAAAATCTGACCATACAATTTTAAATATGGTAAGAACAGCAAAACGTTAACGTAAATCAAATGACAATTATGGAAAAACTCCATCGGAAACGATGAGAGAGGCATTAAGGTTAGTTATGGCTTAGAAAGGTGTACGAGAAACAGCTGCCCAGTTATGGTAGTCATGTAGGCCAAATTTAGTCAGTTGTAGAGTAGCAATTTAGCAAGTCGCCTTGAACTATTTAAGCAGTGAGTCAGTATCAATATAATGCCAGTTTGACAGTAGAAGAAAAAGCAGCCCTTAAACAATTAATCAGAATGTCATGTCATTAACAGTTTTGAAAGTCAGCAATTAACAAGCCTGCCTGTAAAACCATTAAATGCATTGTTCCAGAAATAGGCATTAAGCAGTCCACTTGTATCCTTATTAATTAGTTGGTCTTGCAAATAGATAAGATAAACAGTTAGTACTTATTAAACTGACATTCGACCAGTTTAAGCAATAAACCTATTTAACCATTAAGCATGGTCCATATGGCATAAAGCAGCTAAACATTTAAGATTAAAGCAGTAACAGCCCTTTAAACTCATTAAGCACTTAGGTTAGTTTTAGGCATTCAAGCAGTAGACAGTAGCCATTAAGCAGTCGCCAGTAAGCAATAACCTGTAACCATTAAGCAGTGGTCACTAGGCATTAAACAGCTGAGATTAAGCATTAAGCAGGCGCCTGTAATCATTAAGCAGTGGTCAGTAGGCATTAAGCAGTAGACAGTAGCCATTAAGCAGCTGCCTGTTAGTACTAAGCAGTTGACAGTAAGCAATAGGCTGTCGTTTATGGAATTCAGTAGACAATTGAGCTACATGCATCCATGAAAAAAACTGATTCGACTCATCAAAACTTTGTTCGAAGAGTAATTGACTTGAGTGATTCAGAACTTTCTGATAGTCAAAATATTTCGACATCCAATGCTAGGTTCTGGGGTACTTTTTGTTCTGGATCGGAATATCGCGTCGTAGTCATACATAAAATAGCACAATATATCAACTCGCAGAGCACTGCTTAACTCTTTGCAATCACCACTTTAAATTGACATAAGTAATAACTGTTATTATTTCATCATTACAAGCATTGCTTTGCTAACATTCCTTTATGGAAATGATTTTGCAAGTATAAGCAGATTTTTTTTTGCCAAGTATCTTTTGTTAAGATATTTTTGATTAAAAGATATTTCTTGTTAATTACTGGGATTAAAGTCATGGTCACCGCTGCTGAAAATAAAGTTTTACACCTTTGCTAATGCCGCCTTCACTCATTTGCTGTCATCTTTCATGTTAAGCAGTTCGAGCCCAGGAGGGTTGTTATCTACATTTGGAAGAAGGTTGGGATCATTTGGATCACGATCAGTGATGCTAAAATAGCGTTTAACACTATTGCTCGTAGTGTACCGCCTTTATTCATTGACTGGTGTATAGAACATTCATTCGGTGAATCTCTAACTTTATATGGAGAAAGGGGTCACTGGGTATAGTGAAGGTCACGGACGGTCTGACATTGTCTACCTTTACCTTATACAGCCTTTATCTATAGTTTGATGACACCAAAATTCTATTTGAGTTTAGCGATAAAAGAAAATAAATACCTTAAGAAACCATTTTTAGTACTTTCATAGTATTACAATGTTAAATGATTAAAGATCCGAACCAATACTGTAGTACTTTCAGATCTCACCCTACAAAAATGAGTATAAATAACTATATATTTTATTCAAACAAATAATATTATTATGTACCATGGGCAGAAAATGTAATCGTTGATGTCCTTGGGTATTTAGATGCTTACTTTTTCAAATAAACTTATATATAAGACTAAATAAAAAAAATATTTTACTGACAATACGTTTTGTATTTTGTAGTATAAAATACATACTTATGACTTCAAATATTATGTCAAAGATCAAGGACAAAACATTAAGATTAGTCTGCCATATACGTATACGGCATCAGTTGTTGTTTAACTACCGTTGTATTAAGCTAATGGTGGTCAAAATATGTTGCTTAAGCCGTATTCCACCATTTGCAAGCTCTTACATTAATTATAATATTCACTTTCAAAGGCATTGTAAAACTTCTACCATACTGTCAAAAATATGAAATTTGACTTTCTGATGCTTTCACCATTACGTAAACATAAAATAAATAAATCAAAGTAAAATTAGGTGAAATAATTTTATTGATCAACGTAAACATACACAATGAAATTTAAAAAAGAAAATAGAGGGTATAATAAACTACTACAAATACTACACAACGGACTGTAAAATTATTTTTTTCAACACGTCAGTTTAAATAAACCGTGCGTGCGTTTGTCTGTCTGTATATATGCACGTTTGTGCATAGCCTGGGATTCAGGCGTTGATAGGGTTTCCTTATTTTGCATAACATACGCGCTATTTCGAACTCGTTCGTGCTTTTTGGTGTTTTTGATAGTATCGATTTACAGAAAAGAAGCACATTAACCCATTACTTCATGAGCATTTTGTGAAAAATGGCTGTTTTCATGGAAAAGTCTCCCGTTACAAGTTCAAATTGCTATAATACTATCAAAACTGCTTCAACACTTATCAAACTTGGCACAAATGTTGACTGGACCATTGCCCTTGCAACAACATGCTCAGGCTTAATTTTTCTGTTACCATGGCAACGAGGGGACATCTCAAAATTGCCAAAAATCACTATTTTGCGTTGATTTTTTCCATCTAAATTGATTTCAAATTGGTACAACTTCTCAATGGATTGAGATAGAGTCAAATGCTTTTCAGCGTTGGTTACACGTTACCTTATGATCAATCTGGGGTCATTTATAGCCTCTCACAAGTCCAAAATTTTCTTGGCGATGAGGGGGACTCCGCCCCCTTCAAACCCCCCAAACAGAAGGGGGCACATCCCTCTTCTGGCAACCCCCTGATGTATCTTTTGGTTGGGGGGCCGCGCCGAAAAAGATGTCACTTTTTTGAACAACATTTCTCAAGCAAAAACAAGTGTTGGGGGCCTAAATAAGGCATTTTTTCACCATTTGAGACAACAAAAAGGGGGGGGGGGTGAAAAAGGCGTTAAAAGGCGTGTATATGACGTAATGGGTTAAAATAATTAGACAGACTGGAACCCAAGATAGTTTGCGCACGCATGTGTGCTCATGTGATTTATTTGTATACTAACATGCACTGAGTTATGTACATGTAACCAAACCCAGTGCTACTAATGAATATCAAAATAATTACAAGTCCGCTGTGTTGTAAACAATCAATAAGGGAAATTTAATCAAAAGGAATTCCAATACAGTGTAACGGACAGCAAAAATTTAACAGGTGAACTTACTGTCCAACACACATTATGCCTCAAAAATCCATATATTTTTAAATTCTTTAAAAATGTCAACATGTAAATACTACTGTTTAGATAATTGTTAAGAGCATGTTATATATTTTACAACTGAAAAAAAGAGAAGCGCCTAACATGAGTAATGTGTCGTAATGGTAGCAAAAAGTAAACTATGCATGTAGTATTTTGACTTCCATACAACTTACTTATTCACTACAATTAAACTAATTTCCGAAAAGAGCTATATAAGCAAAAGATACATATGTAGCTCATGATTATAGCAAATGAATATATTTTGGAAAAGTGTAATCATATACCAAAAATTAACAGTTTTGGAGAAATAAAAATCATAGCATTTGTGAGGCATTATGGGCCTAAAATGGTCATTGATACAATAACAATTTTTTTGTAATATTTACCAAAATAACACAATTATTTAAAAAAAGGTAATACAAGTGTATAACATACAACAAAAACCTATGTACAAAAGTAAATTGTTTCTATTAAGTACTAGTTTTAAGATAATAGCATGTTTGCTGTATTTCACCAATCATATGATTGAGTGTAAAAGTTCAATATATCAAATTTATTGTTGAATGGAATTATATTATGCGAGTCTTT